TTATTAATAGGCCTGCAAGTGCGTTCACAGCACTTCTCATTCACAAACCTCAAGTGCTCTAATGGCAAGCAGCGATTTAATGTATGTTTGTGCAGAGCTTGTGTTCTGCACACGTTTTAAAAGGAGTGTGGACAGTTAAACCTGAAGAAGTGGCAGGACTCACTCACACAACTACTGCGTGGAAATCCAGCTCTTTGGGACCACGACACACGGGACCCACCTGTGGGGCTCTGCCCCTGCAATAGGCTGTGCCATCCTGCGCCCGGACCTGCTGCAGCTGCCTGGGGACTCAGTGGGACTCTGCACAGATCCGTGCTGGGAGCTGCACTGCCAGGTCAGACCAGGTCCTGCTGCAGGGGCTCTCAGCTCCATGCACTCCGATGTCTTGTTTCACTCTTCATTGCCCGAGGCAACACGCACAAGCGTTTGGATTCTCAGTACAAAGCTGTTGCATGGCTTAATCTCGGTGTTAAAACACGACTCTGCTCTAGAAATAGTCCTGCAAACCCAGTGTCAGGAGATCTCCCTCTTTGCCTTTGCGATAGCATCAAATCCTCTCACTTGGCAAATGCAAGATGCTTTCACCACTCGCACAGGGATCTGAGAGTCATGCGAGTTTCCCCGGCTTGCACATCCCGACTGATGCTGAGGATGCGTCAGTGGGGCCGGGACACTGAGGTGGCTGCTGCCGGAGCCCGGGTGTACCCTGGGCCCCCCTCCCCAGGGCTGCAGCATGAGACTCAGCCCTGGCTCTGGCAGAAGAGGTGGGAAGGGGCAGGGGGACTCCCCAGGGTGCTCGGGGGCCATGAGCACAGGCAAAGCAATGACCCCGTCAGGGCACCCATAACCCCCCCTTGCCCAGCAGCAGGGTGGGGGAGAACCACTGGGGAAGAGCCCCTCATCACTGCCTAAACCAAATTTTATTGCAGCCATTTGCCTCATGCTCTGGTTTTCAGCCACAGCATCAAAGACAAGTCTGATACCACAGAGCTGCAAGAAACCCCAACAGCCAGCCCAGGCAGGAAGGGCTCTCACCCTTTGCTTGTCGGGGTCCACAAACCGAATGCCGAAGTAGTCCTTCTCCAGCAGGTTCAGGTGGTGGCAGAGAAGGTCGAACAGGTACTGGCCCTTGGCATCTCTCTGCAAGACAAAGAAACTCATTTACAAAGCGGCAGGACAATGGCAGTAGAGCAGAGGAGCTGGGGGGCACACCCGGTGGGTGAAGGGTCTGACACTTGTAAGGTGACACCAAGGACGGTGCAAATGCCACCAACTTCCCTGGTGCTTCACCAGCAATATTTTCAGCTCAGAAACCATCTCCCATCCCACCCGAGGGGCAGCCCAACAGCAGCTGGGAGCAGGACCCATAGTGCACCGGTCCCCGTCCCCATCCCTGTCCAGAGACCTGTGGCTCGCACCCAGGTAGGATGCTGAGGCTGCCCAGGGCTTGGCAGGAGACCACAGCATCGGCCAAAAACCACATTTGCTTGGACAACAAATCTGCATCCAGGTGGCTCTGGGCAGCGCTGCGGAGGTGAAGCTGCCTGGACGGAGTGAACGGCAAGAGTGCGGCGAGAGTGCAGCCAGTGCGCAAGCGGGTCAGCAGAACAGCAACCGCCCCAAACACAGCTTGAACGCCATGAAACACTTAGAGTATTTTACAAGCATAAAGAAAACTGTGACCAAGGTCAGAGTCTGTCTGGGAATCACCCTGCAGCTCGAGTCGTAGTGAAGCGTTAGACGGGGAAGCTGTGAATTTTGGGGTCTGTTTGCCTGGCCCATGTTTTCAGGCACTCAGATCAGCAAGCTCACAGCTTTGCTGCTGTTGTGTTCCCTGTTGGACTCCCTCACCGTAGGCATGGCACAGGTCACCGTCAGCTCATTGCTTTTGCTCTCTCCTGGCTCTGTTAAACAGTCTTTCCCTGATCTGGCACTATGGTGTGAGTCCAGTGCTGACCTGCCTATTTTTAGCATATTTCTTCTGTGCCTTTTTCTGCTGTTGAGCTTTTAGGAAAAAACCTACCCCCTTCCTTGTCCCTGGGGCTCTGCATCGCTGCGAGCTGTGGCAGAGGGACTCCACAGATTTATACTTTCTCCAGGACCAGCCGTGCTGCCAGACACCCACTCTGGAGAGAGCGGGAGCATCTGAGCAATGAGAATTACAGCTTTATAAGGTCCTGTGTGCCAGTACAACTTACAGACAGTGCTAGACTGAACGTTAATGGGGGATTTTAAACTATTATAGATATAAAATCTGATACATCTCAAAGTTATTAAAAATTTAATTTCCAGTGCTGCAAAGACTGAAACACACACTGAATTTGAGCGCTGTGAGCTGCTCCACAGTGATGCTGGCCCAGGACGCCGTGGTCCTTCCTGCATTTGCTGTGGAAATGCAGCACACGAGAGAGCCAATGGCACCAGGACCCCAGTGACACCCACTCACAGTCCCCAGGACTGCAGCAAGTCTGTTCACAGCTCCCTGGGACCCCACTCACAGCTTATCCAGCTGTGGGGGTCACTGCTGGAGATGGGCTGTGCATCCTCTCTGTCAAAAAGATCACCACTTTATCCAGAAATGGTCTTCCTACCTGCCAAAGGTTTGGCATCAATAAGCCAAGAAGAATAAGGAGTTACACCGAGGCTCTTCTGGTTCAACACTTCCTTTGCTCTCCAGAATTGCATCCCCAAGGGCCGTAGAGCCCCGCCACGAAAGCTGATTTATCAGCAATGGGACTTACCCAGACCAAGTGTACAGCTGTGCAATGCTGTATATCAAACCCCTTAAACGACAGCAATTTAACTACTCCGAAATTTTCCATCCAATTTATAATCGACCGCTATAATATTTTGCTCGTGGACAGGAATCCAGATACACCCCAATAACTCATGAACCTCTGCTCAACGGAGCTGCCCGCAGGATCCGTCCCGGGGGCAGCGGCTCTGTGCCAAGCAGAGCCATACCTCCACGGTGGTCTCGCCCCCTGAGGCTCAGTGCTTGCTGAGAGTGGGGTCCTCTCAGTCTGTCAGGTTTGGGATCAGAACCACTATTTTAGTTATTTCCAAAAAGGTACCTGAAACCAGGTACTGCTGCCCTGGGAAACCCCCTTGCCTGGGGCCAGAGAGGGAGAAGAGGTAAAATCGTTCAGACCCTGCTGTGTCTGCCCCTTTATGGCAGAGCAAATAGCACCCAGGTGCCTGGGCTGACGGGGATGCACTGGCAGGATCCGGCCCCTCAGCCTGCCAGCCTTGCCTGCTGCCTGCCCTCGGCCGTGCTCTGGGGTTTGCAGAAGGACCTGGGAAAGGCTGTGCTGCAGTCGATGGGAGACCTGCTTTACCTTGCAGTCGATGGGAGACCTGCTTTACCTTGCAGTCGATGGGAGACCTGCTTTACAGCGCAGCATCTCCGCAGATCAAAGGCTGCTCCTGACAACCAACGCTGCCTCCTTCAGATAACACAGGTTTCTGTTTCCCGACAAATACATTTAACACGTGCATTATCTGATCAAATAATCACTCAGTAGACATAGGCCGTGCAATCAGGGAACCCCGCAGGTCTGGCATTAACCCGTTCCTGGGGCTTGGTATAGTATGATAAATGTCTCTGCATTTCAAATAAATAGTGCTTCGTTTAGAGAGTCATGAAGTTCAGGCTGCGATTATGCAGCTGGTAAAATGACTCGCCCTCGGCGCCGGTGTTGGAGCCTGGCAGACACCAGGGCAGCAACAAGGCGATCTGAGGCGGGCAGTGCTGCCGCCGGAGCAGGGGCCATCCCGGCTCCCAGGGTGCAAACTCTGCCTTTGCAGGCGGCCGCACAGGGAGAGCCTGTCCTGCTCACCCGGCTGCTGCAGCGCTGGCGCTTGGCCAGCGGCAACGGGCTGATAGAGCGTTTTGGGTAGTCGCACACAGAAGTCAGCAGGAGAATCGGCTGTGCAGCACAGAGGAAAGGGCTGGAGGGGACGTGGGGCACGCAGCGCTGGCTCCAGCTGCAGCCCAAACAGAAGGAAGGAGGACAGACAGCCCCTCTGCCAGGCAGAGTGGCAGAGGGAAGACCCTGGTGCTGCCCAGCAAAGCTCAGTCGTGGGGCAGTGGGTGCTCACTGGGCCCCACTGCTCCCAGAAGATGATGGCCTCAAAGTGATCACTGACATGAAGCCTGCTTTGGAAATCCTACTGGTCACTGTGCCCCAACCCTTTGCCTCGGGGCTGATGCCGTTGTGGTCATACCCCAGCCCTCCCCTCGCTCCAGCACCTGCATCTCTCAGAGCCTGGCTCCGTGCTCACAGCATTGGCATCGGCATGGCGGTCTCTCCAAAACACCCGGAGGCAATGCAGAGGATCCACTGGCTGCCTCCAAGGTTCATCCCTGCAGCCTCAGGCATCCCACCCCTCCCGGAGCTGTCCCAAGCCACCCCCAAGGCATGGGCTGATCTGCACAGCCTGGCAGCCCTGGGAGCAAGCCCCTGCTCTCCCCTCCTTCACCTCTCGCTCGCAGAATGGGGTGGGACTCACTCAGGCATCTGACAAGCTTAAGTCAAGTCTTAAAAAGCCTTCTGTGGCAAATGTGTTTGACGGGATTTGTTTGGGATGCAGCCAAGGGTGGATTTTTATGCAGCGACTGATGCACTGTAAAACACATGGCGTTAAAAGACATGGAGCCATAGCCTAAGTCCTCAGGGGCATTCAGACATCTCTCCCCGTGCCTAGGGGCACAGGCATGTTCACCGCTCTCAGAAGCATCACAGCTCTGTAGATTAAACAGACCCCTCCCCTCCCCCCCCATCAGCCTTGTTCCCGTGTCCCTGCAGGCTGCGTGCACACACAAGAGAAAACTGACTCCAGAAGAGCTTTGTTTGAGCAGACGAGACAGCTTTGAGATGAAGTTTCAGCAGCCAGGTGCTCCCCGCAAGAGCACGCGGCACAGCCGCAGTGGGCTCTGCTCAGCTCTGCTCCAGCCACACTGGAGGCTGCAGCCGCGGGACACAAAGCTCCTCTGTTCTTTCGTTTGTAAAACCTCTCTGGGCCAATAAACAGGTCTGCGGCTTTGCTCTCACTATGCCGGGGGTAAGAGTGAGGTTTTGCTTTCCTGCAAGCAAATCCCCCAGGAGGGATCGCAGAGGATCCAAGGAGGAGAATTAGAGAAGCTGCTGCGTATGACACCAGCTCCCACGGCCGCAGCAGCAGGTGCCATCGAAAGCCAGAGCTCGAAGGCAGCCCCGGCCACGGCTGCCGGCTCATTGCTTTGTCCTGAGGGCACCTGCAATGCCCGTGGGGCTGCAGCCCAGAACCAGCCCCAGCCCAGCCCCAGCTCCAGCCCAGCCCCAGCCACTGCCCCGCTGCTCATGCTGCCCATGCAGCAGCTGTGGGTCAGCATCCTGCTCCAGGACTGCAGCTCCTCGGGGGGACACCGGACACCCACCACCGCAAGGGAATGCAGCCGAGGACTCCAGGTGCTGTTCACGGGGCCACGAGGTTGTTTGGCACCCGAGAGGACAAGTGTCCTCATGCCAGCCAGGCTGCCTGCTGCTGGCATGGCACAGCAAGCTGCCCTTGCGCTCACCTGGAGGAGCCTGACCTTACAGCCTGGCAGTAAAAGGCTCACCGAACCTTGGCTGGCTCACGCCGAAGTAAAACGGCGCTGGGCTTTTGAGCCCTGCAGTTAAAATACAGAGGAGCAGACAAAAGCCTGCTTTGCAGAGCCTGCAGCTGGGGATGGCTGCTGGCTGGGCACCGCAGAGAATCCCAGCCTGGC